CTATCATATTGAGTTGACCCAACTTATTTGTTATACTTTGAGATACTATCATTACAAGTCAATCACTATAACACAGAGAGTTAACGTATGCTTTAGTTCCTTGGACCATGAGAGAATCGTAGTCACTTCTTACCATACGATGGACTTTAGGATTGCTCGAATGTCATATGTAACACTATGATCATAACGACAACTTACAGGTTTATCAAAAAGTTTGACAGGGGGCTAGATAGCTCAAGAGTGGGATTTGCTCCTCCGACAATGAAGAGTTATTCTTAAGGCCCTCTCAGTGTGACGGCATCCATCATCGTCTGACCAGACACAGGTGACTAGGTCACAAAGATGCTGGAATATGTCAACGAGAAAGAAGAACAAAACCAGTAACGAGGAGACTGGTATAGTGAGCATGATGATGACTCAAGAGGATACCAATGCATCTCACCTCAGGTTTTGTAAAGTATCACAAAGCAAATGGAATAGCACATGATAACCAAAGGTTCACTCGAATATCATCTGTGTATTCATGGAGATCAATATGGATGTCCACGGTTCCGCTATTGGTCATTGAACGAAAGGAGTTTTGTTAATGTCTATGTTTTACCGAACCTACAGGGTTACAAGATTAAGGGTATCACGATTTGTTGAGTCTTAGTGGAGTGATATTCATGAGAAAATATTCTCAGAATAGTTTTAGGAACATAAGAAATAGCTTCGAGAGAACCCGGAAGCGTTTAGGGGTTACCGGGAGTGTTTCAAGGAATACCGGGTAATACCGAAAAATGATATATAGGCGAAAATTGTTTCCTGGGACTTAATGTAAATAATAGAGGGCTCTAATATTGATTTATAGGTTCCTAGAATTTATTTAGAGTCAATAGGGCAAGGGAAATATCAATTGGCCTATTGGTGGAGAGCTAATGGGCCTTGAAGGCCCATGTAGGACTGGTGCCCCTTTTTAGCTTATTGGAGAAGCTAAGGGGCACACGGGAGTTGGAGGAGGACTCCTCCACCTCGGTCATGACCCAAGGGAGGGTTTTCCCTCCTCCAAGTCGTCCTAGACCCTCCTTCCACCTATATATATATATATATATATATATATATGTGAGCCTCCCTCCTTTGAGATACACAAGTTCTCCCTTGATCTCGTCCCCCCTCTATCTAGTTCTAGTTTTTGATCTAGATTAGAGCTAGTTGTGGTTCTCTCTAATCCTCATAATAGAGAAGCACCATGAGGTTCTCTTCTTCCTCCTCTAATTCTTCGACAACAATTAGCTTTGGAGGGCGAAGCGCTGCCAGATCGTGAATCATGTACGCTTGCAATCTATAGAGAGGTCGTGCTTTCGGCCTTCGATTCAAGGGATTGTTCGTGAATGGTTCAAGGTACTTCATCAACGATCTACAATGCAACTCGAAGTTGGCAACGATCCGATCTAAACTTCTATATGCATCTTCATAGTGTTCCTGGACTGTGATCGTAGGACGAAATCTTTCGTTTTCTACTACGCTTCCCAACAGGTGTGTCGCGTTGGGTGCTGCTGCTCAAGGTAAAGATTGCGAAACATGCACCTCCCATTGAAATCGAGATCGTGAAGGAGTGCTGCCACTTGAGGTTGCATCCGACCGCTGGTGGTTTCAGGAGGGCTAGTTCGGCGGAACGAGAGGTCGGGGAGGAGAGGAGGCACTACGAGAGTAGGGGCTTCTAGGCATAAACACCGAGAACATGTTGGAGTTGTCTATGCACCATAGACTTGGCCTGTGTGCACCTTGGAGCTACATGGGCTCTTTCGGCCCAGTCAACCACATGGCTCCAATTTTTCTACTGGAGTAGTGGTTCATCGAACAACTCAGTTTAGCACATACAGAATTAGACACAGAATAAACGGCCATAAACGCCCAAGGCCAACACATGCGATCGGACGACCAAAAATGTTAATTACATGATAAGGGTGGAAAGTAGGTTTTACTATCCTAAATTGAATGATGAGTTATATGCTTTGTATGTCTCAAACTCCCATACTCTATCATTGACATCCCCCCTCTGAACTGACCAAACACATTGCTATCGGCTGGCCATTTGATCCTGCATTACTCGAACATTTGATCATTTGCCTCACACAGTCACACTACATTGGCTTTGATAATCTGACACATATTATTTTGACTTATTAACGATATTTCATTCTCACTGCCGGAGCTCAAGGTCGCTTTCACACTCCTCTTTCGACACATCGGGTTATTCCCCAACTTGTTCGCCCTTCTTCCTCACGTGGATTGTCTCATCATGTGTTCTTTCCAAGCTCTGTCAGCCATAATCCCACAAGAAAGCACGAAGGGTGGTGACGCTTTGGGCATGAACCTTTCACGTCTTTGACTGCACCTTCCTGCCCATGTACTATATGGTACCCTCAACATTGCAAACTCAATAGCAAATTAATCAATGCGAACACAGAATCAAGGAAATTGACAAATAATATTGCATCTCCAAGTTTAACTGTACCCGCATATTCATTTCATCCATCAATTTATAGGCAAAATCAAAACTAAAATTAGATTTGGGGTAAAGAATTTGAAGCCATGGCAGTTTCTTTGTGACCGGCGAGCATTTACCGTTGTGTGCAGAGCTGCAGGGTCATGCCACAAGGCCGATCGTCACTAGCCTAGTCCATCCTCGTCACTCGTGCCACCATAATGTGAACCCTCGCCGAGTTCCTCCTTGCTCAACTCGGTTTTCCTCGTTGTCAAAATGCCTCCTGGAGCTCCACCCCATGGCTTCCACATCACCCATTTGGAAAGCAACATCTCTTGGTGGTCTTTGGAGTCGAGGGAGCAACCAGGGCGCCCTTGTTTGGTTGAGTGTGAGGGTGAATGATGAAATGATGGAGTAATGCGGGCAAAATAATAAAATGACAGAGTAATGCAAAATGCGGGGTAAATGGTCAAATTCCTTCTCATCCCTTGGTATTGCACACCTCACCCTTCAGAAGAAATCGAAAAACCCATATACCGATAAAAACTGAATCCGTCATGAATTTAAAGTTAATAGGATGGGCACCGCTACGCGTCTTCCGACGGATATATGAGAAACATCCGCCACATGGAGCACCGTTGGATGAGCGCCCTGATAGCCGTCTAATCTAACCATCGCACGCGTGTGACCACCTCCCTACTTCCTGCAACAATCGCTCAGTTTCGGAAACTGAATCCCCTCACCATCGTCCTGCCACAGCTCTGCCCAGCGCGTCGGCAGTCGCCACCACCACCAAATCGCTGCCGCCGGCGCGCTGGGGAACTAGTCCTTGCCGTGCTCGCCGGAGTTATTTCTTCTCCTCCATCTCAACCCCGCGAGCAGCTGCTAGCTCCAATCGAGCACGACGGCGGCGGCCTCTCACGCCCGACGCTTCTTCGGCGTTTTCTGCAACCAGAGCTATGTTTCTGAAACATGCCTCATGTTGCAATATTTGACCACTCACTCTCTAACATTGGGTGCTCCTGCGGCACTGCAACTCGAGCTATGTTTCTGAAACAAGACCCTTTTGCAGAAAAAAACCTTCACAACATAAACAATTCTTTTCTTTTTGAAACAAAAGATATGTTGCAGAAATCTTTTGAAACAAGACCCCAGTTGCAAAAAAAACCTTCACCAACGAGTCTTTTTCTTTCTTTCTGAAACTAGTCCTGTGTTGCAGAAATCAACTGAAATAAGACCCTTATTGCAAGAAAATGATTTGTCGTGCGGGACTGCCTTGTGACCAGTGTGGCTGCTTATCAGGATTGATCTAACGGCTACACAAGCGGCGGACGCTTGCGTGCGCATCAGCTGGTTGAAGGTAAGCTTTTTCCTAATAGGATTTGCGTTTATTATGGCAAGAAACCGTATATGACTAGCGCTTTTCAGCATACAAACGATTTTTGTTTTGGCAAAACCGAAACAACCGATTTAAGGCCCGGCCCACTTACAGCCCAGCCGACCAGGCACTCCGCGTCCGCGTCTCTTCCACACTCCACACCCCATTCTCAAAAAACAAAAAACAAAAAAAAAACTCCACGCCCACGGAGTCGCGCAGGCGCGCACAGGCACAGCCACCGCAGCGCAGGCGAGCGAGACGCGCATGCCCAACCCTAGCGAAGCGAGTTGGGAGCAGCCGAGCACATCCCTGCGTCGCCACGCCTCCGGCCTCCGGCCCCGCTCCGCCATCAGATGCCTGACCTACTCGCCTAGTCCTCGTCTGATCTCCGCCGCCCCCGCCACCGGCCCTCGCGTCCAGGGCTCCAGGCGTTCTCCATCCCCGGTTCCCCGCACAGCCTAAAAAAACTGCAGGTAAAATCCTCGATTGATGTTGGCTATTATGTGCTGTGTTGCTAGTCTGCTAGTGCTTGATTAATACAATTGGAGGAACTTGCGGCTCTAAATCTAGCTCTACATCTTTCATGTTCCTTTTTGTGTTCTTCAGAAGTTCAGACCATCAGATGGCTGAGACTGTAAGCTGCTTGGGTTGTGCTAAACTTGTAATGCACCTTCCCCAATTAGTACTAAACTGTAATCTTGTAAACTATTGTGGTAAACTGGTAATGCTCCTGCCCCATGGCCATGGGGGATTGTGAGGTTGTGTTCTTCTGCTCTGTTATTATTAACTTATTACTTTTAGCCAAGCTACCACTAGCTTAGCTAATAGTTATACTTGGCGTTTTGCTAGCTTCGTTTTTGTGTTGTTGTGTATAACAGCCCTGCCCCGTGCACTGTTGTATAGCATGTTCAGTTCTTAGCTTTTCACACATCATATGGTCTGCTTGCTCCCAACCCCTCATTAGTTTGTGAAGTTTTCACAAAATGCTGTTCTCTTGTTTTCGTGAATTCGCGTCAACTTTGGTTAATTTGTGTAAATCGAAACCATGCCCAAGCCCAATGCATAGAGTTACTCCTTGAAAAAGCTGTCTATGTTCCTCTCTTATGCTCAGGTCCACACTATCCCTTCTTGGAATTAATCATGGTTGTGGACAGGATGGAGTCAGCATCCAAGGAGATGGCACTGAGGTGCACCACGGAGAAGGTGACAGCATCGAGGTGCTCCACACACAAGGAGGAGGGAACACACATCTTTGAGATCGCCGGGTACAGCCTCAAGAAGGATATGGGTGTCGGGAAGTTCGTCCGGTCTGTCACCTTCACTGTCGGTGGGTACGACTGGTCCATCAGATTTTATCCCGAAGGTACCACCGAGTCGCCCGAAGGGTGTATGGGGATCTGTCTTGAGCTCATGAGCAGCAATGCCGAGGTGCGGACGTTCTTTCGGCTTGGATTGGTAAAGCATGAGACAGGGTTGATTGGCTCAATGTTTACGCCAAACAATAAGGTGTTCAGCTCCAAGACCAGGAACAGTCGTGAGTATCATCTGTTCATACTAAGAAGCAGTCTTGAGGCGAAACCACTAAAGTACCTTCGGGATGATTTTCTCGTAATCAAATGTAATATTACGGTAATCAAAGAATCTGAGGTTTATGAAACCATGGGGCACTCTGAAATTGAGGTGCCACCGTCAGACATCATGGAGCATCTCGCAAAGCTGTTGGACACTAAGGAAGAAGCAGATGTCACTTTCAGTGTTGGAGGCGAGACCTTTCAGGCGCACAAGATTTTGCTTGCCATGCGATCACCTGTCTTCAAAGCAGAACTCTTTGGGCCGATGAAGGAGAAGAGGATGCGGTGTTTGACCATCAAAGACATGCAGCCCGCTGTTTTCAAGGCTCTGCTGCATTTCATTTATACAGATTCATTGCCTGACTTGGATGATCTTGAAGGCGATGATAAGTGTGAAATGATCCGGCATTTGCTGGTAGCTGCAGATAAGTATGCCATGGACAGGCTGAAGATTATGTGTCAAAACATCCTTGGCAAGAGTCTTGATGTGGAGAACGTGGCAACTACATTGGCTTTAGCTGATCAGCATAACTGTGACAAGCTTAAAGATATTTGCATTGAATTTATTGCCTCTTCAGATAAGATGGATGATGTGGTGGCAACCAAAGGTTATGCAAATCTCAAAAGATCTTGCCCGTCTGTCTTGATAGATGCTTTAGAGAAGAGAAGCAGGCCTCGTATAGCATAGAGCAGCTCATGCGTACTAAAATCAGCTACATGCGGTTGTTGGGGTTTCTTGTGTTGTCTGCACCTTTCCTGAAATTTTTCGAAGTGTAATATCATGTGTGGAACTGTTATGATCTCAAAATGAATGAATGTTAGTATGTTACATAACAGTATCTTGTTGCTTTGGGAACATAACCACATTACATCATAAATAACAACTACTTTATGCAACCGTGTTGTTAACCGTGTTCCTTTGGGAACTGGAAGATGTCACATCGTATACAATCTTTTTTTTTTGAGGAAAGAAGGCAGGCTTTATTCATAGGATTACAAATAAATCATGAGGAATACACAACCATGTGTGTCTACCCTGGGTAGGGTAACACCTAGCCTAGCCATCTTATGAGCTTCAAAATTATAAGCTTGAGCTTCATGAGCAAAAACACATGAACTAAACATATATTCTAACTTTATTATTTATTTGATAACTCCTCCATCCGCGCCTCCAACTCCATCTCGAATATGGTTAATGACCTCTTTACAATCTGAAGCAATATAAAGGTGTTGCATACCAAGATCATGAGCAAGTGCTAGTGCCTCTCTGCAGCCATAGCTTCCAACACTGTTGGAGAAATAAGACCTTGAAAAGAAAAAAAACTCGGCGCATAATTATTCGAGGCCCAGAAGCTGTGAATACATTCACGTGCTATTCATATTTTCGGAAACTTATATGATCGGTTGCACATATAACATTGTGAGGAATGAATGTTCCTGAATTTTTATTGATCCACTGCAACCCTTAGATGTACTTATATTTCTCTGGGATACTACTGAACTGAGCCTGGAAGGTAAAGTTTACTCAATTTATTTGGTCACTTGATAAACTGTTTAATTTCAATTAATCATCTTACTCCAAAGGCCAAACCAGGTTTTACTATCCGAGATCAGGATTAAAGCACATCAAACTGGAAAGGTAGGTACACTTGTTTTACTGATGTAGTCTGTGTTAATCTGAACATTATCAGTTGTAAAGACTAAAGAGTAAGTAAGAATATTAGAAGCTCGGCATTAAGCATCTTTCCTGTCAGCGAGACGGAGCTCCCATGTAAGCATTGGGGTCAATTGACCCCAATGAAATTAGGTAATCCTTCATTAGTCCTTTACTAGTTTAGTACTAATTATTGTTCATTTAGACAAGATGACCCCACTGTCATAGAGATGACCTCATCAAACATTTTTTCTAGCTTCGTCCAGCACAACATAGTAACCTTCACTTGTATTTATAATTATGAAGCTTGGCATAAGCCCGAACAAAATCATACATGAATCTCTTGTGTTCTGAGCTAAGCAATGCCAAGAAAATAGTTTTCAGGTTAACTTTACGGAACAGCCTAACATACGGAACCTTTTGAGATTATTATTCATTTACATAAACATTCAGTTTACAACATCCCGGATGCAACAGGAACACAATGCCGGTAGATCGTGAAAGCAGAAAGCTCACTCGATCTAGAGTCACCCTTCTTATGAGCATTATAGAACACTACCTAATACTGTATTTGGCAAATCTTAACCTCGTACGAGTTCGTTTTGGAATGTACAGTAGTATAAGGGCATCTCCAACGACTGCTCCTCAAATCGGACCGCGCATCCGTCTGTGGACCAGTGGAGACTAGTCCGCGGACACTGATGCGGGAGCCGACCATTCAGAGCTAGCCGCAAATGTCTTGTTGCATTACAAATGAAATATAACAAAAGTGAACAAACTTGATGCAAATTTAAACAAACCAGACGATTTTCAAACTTGAATAATTTTTACATAAAACCGGATGATATTTCGTCCGATGAACTAAAAATCATGATGCGGAGCATCCTATGGTCAACCCCATGGACCTATCATCGTCTCACCAAGTGCCAAGCGGACCGATGACACGAGCACGAGCTAGAGCTCTCGAGACCGAGGTGCCATCTCTCCTTAGTGATATTTCATATGACCCACTCGAGACATGGCTACTACCTAAGTTCGGAATGTGATGCATGATCAGGTACCAAGAGGACCCTCTCGAAGATGCACATGAAGACGGACAAGTCCCCAAGTCCACAGATGAGGAGAACCAACGGAAGGAGTCGAGAACAACTCCCAGGACCCGGACATCCGGCCCCTGTAGACCCCCATTACAGCAACAACCCAACAGCCGAAGCTACAGGGCCCGGACATCCGGCCCCAGCCTGGACATCCGGCCTCCAGCCCGGAAATCCGGCTCCCAGCCTAGACATCCGGACAAGCCCTATCCATAGAGCAAATGGAACGGCCCCGCCAGCCCGGACATCCGGCACTTCGTGAAGGCCCGGACATCCGGCCTGACGCCCGGACGTCCGGCTCGACCTGTCTGCACACAGTAAAGGGCTGAAGCCCATGTATCCCTTCGCCCCTTAGACTATATATACTCCTTCTCCTCCCTCTTGTTAGGGTTATTGGTTTAGCTCATCTGAGAGATAGAGTGATGCGGAGCATCCTACGGACATCACCATGTCAAGAGTCCATTTGGCAAGTGACACGTGCGACATCTACTTCACATACACAAAGGTGAATCATCTCCTTTACACGCGTTCACTTGAACCTCTTAAGGATGGTATACTACTTGACACTCCTCCCTTGTGCATGCATAGGTATTGTCAGAGCTTCACGAATGTCGAGGAGGAGTGCAAGCGCCAAGGAACGACTACACCGTCCGCGAGGGAGGCATGGAAGAGAGACGGAAGAAAGGCGAAGAAGAAGACGGAGAGGCTGCAGGAGCTAGGCCGGACATCCGGACCGCCGTCCGGATCATCCGGACTCAGCCGGATCATCCGGGTCCCCCTCCGGATCATCCGGGTAATTGCGTCCGAAGACACCCGAAGCTTGCAGAATCTCCACGGCGGAGCCGGATCATCTGGACGAGGTCCCGGATCATCCGGACGACGCCTGGATCATCCGGACCCCCATCCGGATCATCCGGCCTTGCCTGCGTGCATGCCCCTAGGCCGAGGCCCATGTACCTGTTTCGCCCCCTCACTTACCCCTTCGCCCACTAGACTATAAATAGACCTCCTCCACCTCCTTTCTAGGGTTAGCGTTGTGATAGCTCATTTGAGAGATAGAGCTACGCTCATCCATATCGGATCTACTCCACGAGAGAGACCGTGGCCTCTACGGAGAAGATCCCTTTGGATTCAAGCCCCCTTTCTAAGGGAAGATCCCCCGTGGATTCAAGACCTCCTTACGGAGAAGAACCGGTTACCATTTGTATCGTCCGTTGTTGACTTTGGATCTTGTATCTCACCTTTGTGTTCATCGATCTAGCGCATGTGTGATCTATTCTTGTTGGTTGAGTGATTTCTCTCGTGTTCCCCTCGTGTTTCCCTCGTGTTTCCCCTCATTTCCCTCCTCGTGTTCTTCGCGTTCTTCGCAGGATCCGCTCCTTTCGTGAAAGATCAGCCCCTAGGGTTCCTACCCTACATCATCTTGGATCAGAGCAAGGTTGATCACGAATTTGGAGCCCCCACCCCTCTTTTTCTAGCCTTGTTTTGCTTGATTTCGTCCTAAATTCGAAAATCCCCACCAAAAATAGCCCCACGTCTCTTGACGTCTACCACTCCATACTTGAGGCTCTTGTTGATCAAGATGCCTACGCCATTTGGCTGCAAACAGAAATGGCATAGGCATCTTGATCAACAAGAGCCTCATGTATGGAGTGGTAGACGTCAAGAGACGTGGGGACCGGATTATCTTGGTCAAGCTGGTAGTTGAGGACTTGGTTCTCAATGTTATCAGCGCGTATGCCCCGCAAGTAGGCCACAATGAGAACACCAAGAGGGAGTTCTGGGAAGGCCTGGAAGACATGGTTAGGAGTGTACCGATTGGTGAGAAGCTCTTCATAGGAGGAGACCTCAATGGCCACGTGGGTACATCTAACACAGGTTTTGAAGGGGCGCATGGGGGCTTTGGCCATGGCATCAGGAATCAAGAAGGAGAAGATGTCTTAAGCTTTGCTCTAGCCTACAACATGATTGTAGCTAACACCCTCTTTAGAAAGAGAGAATCACATCTGGTGACTTTTAGTAGTGGCCAACACTCTAGCCAGATTGATTTCATCCTCTCGAGAAGAGAAGATAGGCGTGCGTGCCTAGACTGTAAGGTGATACCTGGAGAGAGTGTTGTACCCCAACATAAGCTGGTGGTTGCTGACTTCCGCTTTCGGATTCGTGTCTAGCGGGATAAGCGTGCCAAAGTCGCTAGAACGAAGTGGTGGAAGCTCAAGGGGAGGTAGCTCAGGTGTTCAAGGAGAGGGTCATTAAGGAGGGCCCTTGGGAGGAAGGAGGGGATGCGGACAATGTGTGGATGAAGATGGCGACTTGCATTCGTAAGGTGGCCTCGCAGGAGTTTGGAGTGTCCAGGGGAAGGAGAAGCGAAGATAAGGATACCTGGTGGTGGAATGATGACGTCCAGAAGGCGATTAAAGAGAAGAAAGATTGCTTCAGACGCCTATACCTGGATAGGAGTGCAGACAACATAGAGAAGTACAAGATGGCAAAGAAGGCCGCAAAGCGAGCTGTTGGTGAAGCAAGGGGTCGGGCATATGAGGACCTCTACCAACGGTTAGGCATGAAGGAAGGTGAAAGGGACATCTATAAGATGGCCAAGATCCGAGAGAGGAAGACGAGGGACATTGGCCAAGTCAAATGCATCAAGGACGGAGCAGGCCAACTCTTGGTGAAGAACGAGGAGATTAAGCATAGATGGCGGGAGTACTTCGACAAGCTGTTCAATGGGGGAGAATGAGAGTTCTACCATTGAACTAGATGACTCCTTTGATGAGGCCAGCATGCGTTTTGTGTGGCGAACCCAGCAGTCTGAGGTGAAGGAGGCTTTAAAAAGGATGAAAGGAGGCAAGGCGATGGGCCCTGATTGTATCCCCATTGAGGTGTGGAAAGGTCTCGGGGACATAGCAATAGTATGGCTAACCAAGCTTTTCAACCTCATTTTTCGGGCAAACAAGATGCCAGAAGAATGGAGACAGAGTATATTAGTACCAATCTTCAAGAACAAGGGGGATGTTCAGAGTTGTACTAATTACCGTGGAATTAAGCTGATGAGCCATACAATGAAGCTATGAGAGAGAGTCATTGAGCACCGCTTAAGAAGAATGACAAGCGTGACCAAAAATCAGTTTGGTTTCATGCCTGGGAGGTCGACCATGGAAGCCATTTTCTTGGTACGACAACTTATGGAGAGATATAGGGAGCAAAAGAAGGACTTGCATATGGTGTTCATTGACTTGGAGAAGGCCTATGATAAGATACCGTGGAATTTCATGTGGTGGGCCTTGGAGAAACACAAAGTCCCAGCAAAGTACATTACCCTCATCAAGGACATGTACGATAATGTTGTGATAAGTGTTCGAACAAGTGATGTCGACACCGATAACTTCCCGATTAAGATAGGACTGCATCAGGGGTCATCTTTGAGCCCTTATCTTTTTGCATTGGTGATGGATGAGGCCACAAGGGATATACAAGGAGATATCCCATGGTGTATGCTCTTTGTGGATGATGTGGTGCTAGTTGACGATAGTCGGACGGGGGTAAATAGGAAGTTATAGTTATGGAGACAAACCTTGGAATCGAAAGGGTTTAGGCTTAGTAGAACTAAAACCGAGTACATGATGTGCGGTTTCAGTACTACTAGGTGTGAGGAGGAGGAGGTTAGCCTTGATGGCCAGGTGGTACCTCGGAAGGACACCTTTCGGTATTTGCGGTCAATGTTGCAGGAGGATGGTGGTATTGATGAAGATGTGAACCATCGAATCAAAGCTGGATGGATGAAGTGGCGCCAAGCTTCTGGCATTCTCTGTGACAAGAGTGCCACAAAAGCTAAAGGGCAAGTTCTACAGGACGGCGGTTCGACCCGCAATGTTGTATGGCACGGAGTGTTGGCCGACTAAAAGGCGACATGTTCAACAGTTAGGTGTGGCGGAGATGCGTATGTTGAGATGGATGTGTGGCCACACGAGGAAGGATCGAGTCCAGAATGATGATATATGAGATAGAGTTGGGGTAGCACCAATTGAGGAGAAGCTTGTCCAACATCGTTTGAGATGGTTTGGGCATATTCAGTGCAGGCCTCCAGAAGCTCCAGTGCATAGCGGACGGCTAAAGCGTGCGGAGAATGTCAAGAGAGGGTGGGGTAGACCGAATTTGACATGGGAGGAGTCCGTTAAGAGAGACCTGAAGGATTGGAGTATCACCAAAGAGCTAGCTATGGACAGGGGTGCATGGAAGCTTGCTATCCATGTGCCAGAGCCATGAGTTGGTTGCGAGATCTTATGGGTCTCACCTCTAGCGTACCCCAACTTGTTTGGGACTAAAGGCTTTGTTGTTGTTGTTGTTGTTGTTGTTGTTGTTGTTGTTGGTTTTGATGTTGTTTTGTTGGTTTTGATGTTGTTTTGTTGATTTTGATCCATGGACTTGCTTGGTTTCGAGTGGATATAGCATCTCCCCAAGTTTCCCCACCTTCCATCCACGAAATCTAATTTTGACCCCGAAATCATCCAATTTCCACCCAAAAATTCGTCCCCGAGAGAAAATCCCAAGCAGTTTGACCTGCCCGGATCATCCGAAAGTGCTCCCGGATCATCCGGATCCACCCGGATCAGCTGGACCATCTCCCGGATGTCCGGACACCCCACATGACAGAAATCCGGTTGATGAACCCGGATCATCCGGACCTACTCCCGGATGTCCGGGTAACCCCGACACTGACTCGGCTAAATTTTTGTTTTGACCATAACTAATTCATCCGAACTCCGTTTTGACGTTCTTTAGCTCGTTTTGAAGCTCTTGACATCCCCCTTACCAAAAAATACCACCAACATCATTTGACTCCATCAAATTTTCTGAAATTTGTTAAGTTTGCCTAGGCCCTACACCATATCATCCGCATTACCACCACCGACTTCCGCAACCTAACACATTTTGATCCCCATTGTATATGTGGTTGTTTGAGTTGTGACTTGAGTCTCCTAAGGTGTTTCGGCTACTTAGGGACGGTTGCTTCTTCATCGACCACCACCACCACTTCCGCATAACCTTGCCCACCATACACTTCCGCCACCTCAACTTAACCCAATTTTGTTTGTGTTGTGAGTTGTGTCTCCTAAGGTGTTTCGGCTACTTAGGGACCGTGCTTTCAACTCCGACACAGTGTACAGTCCACCACCATAACCTCCACTTCCCCATTGCCTACCCCAAAACCCATC